AACTCACAGAGATCCGCCTGCCTCTGCCTCCCGAGTGCTGGGATTAAAGGCGTGCGCCACCACCGCCCGGCTTGAATTCTTTTTATTTTTGTTTGTTTTCTTGCTCTTGTGTTTTCAGATAGGGTCTTGTTATAAAGCCACAGTAGCCTTAAACTCTGGGCAGTCTGCCTCAGCAGCCCCCACCCCAAGTTCAGGCGTGACAAGTTCTGCCTGACATCCAGCTACCTTTGTATAATTTTGCTGCATATTTCCTAAGTCTAGAATTATTTCAAAATTAAAACACTGAGTTAGTGAGAGGATTTAGTTGATTAAGCACTTGTCTCCAAGCCTGACTACCTGAAATCAATCCCCAGGACTTACAAAGTGGAAGGAGAGAACTGACCTTCACTACTCAAGGATCCAGGTTTAATTCTCAGCACCCACATGGCAGCTAATGATGGTGTGTAACTCTGTGGGCACCTGGTATGATAGTGATGTGCAGACAAAACACCCATACACATAAAATTAAAATAAAAATTAAAAAATAAAAGAAGATATCCTTTAAAAGGTACTAGATTCTTTTTTGAAAGAAAGAAAAAATATAGTGAACAAACAGAAGATAGAGAGGAGAGATACTGGGTGAGAGAAGCTGAATATCATGGAAAGAGGGAAAGGTAGGAAAAGGCGTGGGGAAAATGAATTGCAGAAGGTCAGAGCTTCTATTTGCTGCCCAAACGCCCACCTACCCTTGCTTTTGGAACTGGTACCATGGGTCTTCAAGCCTGTTTTGGGGTGGCAGGGGTCACTGAGACACAAGCTGAAGTGGGGAAAGTAATTGGCACATCATCCAGGATTATTTCATTCATGAAAGGCCTCAGCCTAACCTCTGACATTTGGCCCGCAGTGACATAGAAAGGCAACATACTGTGTGCTAAAAGAAGGAATTCCTTGTCCACAAGCACCTCAAGTACATTGACACTTTGGGAACCGAGCTAGGTTGCTTTCTTTATTTTTATTGCAATAGTTGGGGAAATTGAAGCCAGGGCCTTCTGCATGCTAGGTAATCACTACTACATAGCTTCACATCAGCCCCACATCTTTTGAAATAGGACTCATGTGTCACAAAATTCACCACTTTAAATTGGACCCTGTGGCACAAACCTACAATCCCAGAACTTGGGAGGTGGAGGCAGGAGGATGGGAGTTGAAAGTCGTCCTCAGCTACATAAGGAGTTGGGGTCCAGCCTGGAACACGTGAGACCCCGTCACAAACAAACAAACAAACAAACAAACAAACAAACAAATCCCAATTTTAAAGTGTAGGAGCCACTAGTTTTGAGCATATTCACAAAGTCGTGAGGTCATCTCCAATGCCCCGATGGCAGCCACAGTTCTTACAATGCCCGGCCTTTGGAAATGACAGATCTGCTTTCTGTCTGAGTGCCTCTCCTCCTGGAGATTTCTTGGAAATTGTCCAAACCTTGTGGACTCTGCACATCGAAGAGGCTCCGCCCTCTTGGTGGCCAGTCGTCACGGGATTGGGCACGCGGGTTGGGTGTGCATAGTGGTGTCCAATCACTCCGGCGCCTGCGGCTCAGTCAGGTGTGCAGGCGCGGAAGGCACCCCGGGTGGGTATGGCGACCTGGTGGCGTGCGTTTCCACGCGCAGCACGGCGCTATCCGTGGCCCACCAACGTGCTGCTCTACGCCGGTCTCTTTTCAGCGGGTGATGCGCTGCAGCAGCGGCTGCGGGGAGGCCCGGCCGACTGGCGCCAGACGCGGCGCGTGGCCACTCTGGCTATAACCTTCCACGGGAACTTCAACTACGTGTGGCTGCGCCTTCTGGAGCGCGCGCTTCCGGGCCGCGCGCCGCGCACGGTCCTGGCCAAGGTGCTGTGCGATCAGACTGTCGGTGGGCCGATTGCCCTCTCTGCCTTCTACGTCGGTGAGGGGCCTAGGCGGGGCCCAGAGTCTGGGATTGGGGCACTGGAGGCCGGGCAGGAGGCGCGGAGTTGGGGGTGGGGGGATGGAGAGTGGGGACTAGGGGCCGCGGAGACCGGAGATCTGAAGCCACTGGGTCTGAGGCAGGAGGTGACATCTCTGCTGTCAGAGAACCAGGGCTAGAAGGAAGCCTTGAAGCAGCGACAGGAGCTCTGAACATTGTGGGACATGAGGTTCTCATGAGGAAGAATTTTAGGGTCTGCTGGCCGGGGGAACTGGAGATCCAGCATGCCAGGGATTTAGGGGGTTGGTGTCAGGTTGGCGATGTTCAGGAGTGGGGGGGGGGTCTATTTTCCTTCAGAAAAGGGCACATCCAAGACACCCTTGCTTAGCCCCGTAGCAGCTGCATCCCTGGGCTCCACCTGCCCTGCAGCCAATACATCAACCAAAAATGAGGGGATCGGTGACTCTGGGGGCAGAGTGCGTGGAATCTGTGATTATAGAAAAGTCATCTCCAGGGCCTTAGCCTTGCTTGGGCAACAAGATTTCCCTGCATAGGTCACACAGAGAATGGAAGGGGGCTGTATACTTGAGAAGGAACTCTCATCACTCTGGCCTGGATGGCCTGGCCTTGGGAAACCTTTCTGCCTGATTTACTGAAAACAACAAAAGGTCTCATGGTTTCTCTCCTCAGTGATTTCTGTACCCTCAAAGGCAGTGGCAGCTGGGGAGGGTCATTCAGTATTTGGAGAGTCTTCTCCAGGGCCTTGGGGATGTTAGATCACCAACAGTTGAACCTAAAGCCTCAGGCCTCAAGCTGTGTCAACTAGACTATATCCCCAGTCTTTAGTTTGTTTTAAATTTTGAGACAGGGATTCACTAAGTTGCTCAGGCTGGCCATGAACTTGTGATTCTCCAACTTCAGGCTTTCAAGCTGCTGGAATGACAAGCCTGCCCCACCTGTCCCAGCCTGTCAGTGTCTTCTTAAACCAACTGAGGGTTAGCAAACCATCTAGAAGAAACTTCCCCTCTGGGGGAAGGTATTTAAGGGAGACTGTATTCACTTCCTTTTCTTCTGTAGCCCACAGGAAACATCAAAGACCTGGTGGCTTGTTACAGTCTCAGCTAACGCCATGCTAAGGAGGTCAGTGAAGTCAGAATAGACAAGCAGAGAGCAAGAGCTTTCTGATTTGCTCATGCTCTGTGCCTTGTTCCCTGGTGTGGTCTCTCAGCTAGCTTTGCAAATGGATTCCTGTAGTTACTACAGCTTGGTCAGTAGTGAAGGAGTTAGGAGCCAGGACTTGCCACTTGACAGGCTAGATTCCTATTGAATCTTTGAGCTACCACTTAGGCCGATATACTCAAAATTCCCATGTTATAAATGAGAAAACAGGCATGGAGGGGTTGGAAGTCCACCAGAAGACAGCACAGTCCAGGCTTTCAGCCATGTTTTTCATCTTGATATTGGTGGTCATAGTATGTGTGATCACCCTGAGACTAGGAAATGGTGCTGTCCCAGGGTGTGGGAGATGTAGCTGGAGACTTTATCTCCAGCTCCCACCAAGCCCTGCCAGTCCCGGACCCACTTATAAAATAAACACACCAACTTTTATATTATTTAAACTGCTCGGCCATTAGCTCAGGCCTACCATTGTCTAGCTCTTACTCTTATACTCAGCCCATTTCTGTTAATCTATATGTTGCCATGTATTCCATGGCTTTACCTGTTGCCTCTACATGATGCTCCCTGAACGGCAGCTGGTGTCTCCTCCCTCTGCCTTCCTCTCCTTTTCTTCTCTCCTCTCTGTTAGTCCCACCTATACTTCCTGTCTGGCTGCTGGCCAATCAGGGTTTTATTTATGCAGAACGATATCCACAGCAGGGAGACACCTGTGATGAAGGCCTGAGGCCTTCTGTTATATCACTGGTCTGGATTTTTGCTGGTTTAGTCTCCTCTGTTTCTTGTTACAGTGAGGGGGAACATGGGTGTGGGAGTTGAAAACTGATACTCGGGTAGTGCACCTGGACAGGTTCTTCTCTTCCACTCCCTAAAGCACTTCATTTTTAGACAGAGCCATGTTGGGTAGTGTAATCTGGCCTTGAGCTCATGGCAGTCCTCCTGCCTCAGCCTCTTGTTTGCTAATTTTACAGGGTCACCATGACTAGCTGTCTTTTCTTCCTTTAAACTCTTCTCATCTGAGTTAGTTGTTAGGAGGGTCAAATAATGTGGTGATGTGAGTACTTAGCATTAACTGGGTAAGCAGATCACAGCACTACAATATTTGCTGGGTTTTGTTTTGAGTCTCATTCTTCTTTTTTTGATTGATTTATTTATTTTATGTATATGATTTTTCTATCTGCATGTCTTTAAAGAGGGCAGCAGATCCCACTAGAGATGGTTGGGAGCCACTATGTGGTTGCAGGGAATTGAACTCAGGACCTCTGGAAGAGCAGCCAATGCTCTTAACCACTGCTCCATCTCTCCAGCCCTCTTGAGTCTCATTCTAAGAATCTCCTGCCATTGGCTGATAACTCTCATATCCCCAACCCCCACCCAAGTGCACAATCAGGGCTGTTAGAAAATTTTAAATGCTGTTATTTTTACACTCTCCTTTAAAAGTGAGGTTTTGGCTCTGTTTCTTGAATGTTAAACTCTGGTAGGAATATACTGATGGGAAATGTGTAGTTGCTAGAATGTCCAGGGCCGAGTAGTTTTTTATTTGTTTGTTTGTTTGTTTGTTTTTTGAGACAGGGTTTCTCTGTGTAGTTTTGGTGCCTGTCCTGGATCTTGCTCTGTAGACCAGGCTGGCCTCGAACTCACAGAGATCCATCTGGCTCTGCCTCCCGAATGCTGGGATTAAAGGCGTGTGCTGCTACTACCACTTGGCTATTTTTAGTTTTGTTTTGTTTTTTTTACATGGGGATATTTTATTTTATTTTATTTTACAATACCATTCAGTTCTACATATCAGCCACGGGTTCCCCTATTCTCCCCCCCTCCCACACCCTCCCCTTACCCCCAGCTCACCCCCCATTCCCACCTCCTCCAGGGCAAAT